CCCCCCCCCCCCCCCCCCCCCCCTCAGTTTCCCATGACAGCGCATGTCACCAAAGTGACCTGGGGCGTCCTGAGGCTGGACAGGCGCTAGAGAGATGTACATGCTCCCCTAACGGTGTTGCTTTCCCTACAGTGGCACTCGATCTGTGCCCTCGGTGTGTGTGCTCTGCTCAGCAGCTGGTAGGTGTTTGCCATTTCTAGGACGGAACGTGAGGTGTGATGACCTCCTGTGCCATAAGCATCTGGGTCGGACGCTGGGAATCCTGCGGCACGTAACTCCCCTCCTGACTCCCCCCAAAGCCTGCCTGCCATCTACAAGTCAGGGGTGTGATGGAATACTCCCCACTTACCCTGGACAGGGGCAGCCCCAACAACGTTCTAGAAGTTCGATACCATCCAGGGACAGAGCAGCTTCCGCTTGATTGGCACCACATCCACAAACATCCCACTCCCTCCCCCCCACCGAGGCTCAGTAGCAGCAGTGTGTACCATCTACAAGATGCTCTGCAGAGATTCACCAAAGACCCTCAGACAGCACCTTCCAAACCCATGACCCACTTCCATCCAGAAGGACAAGGGGCAGCAGATACATGGGAACACCAGCACCCCTGCACGTTCCCCTCCGCTTCCCATCCCGACTTGGAGATATATCACTGATCTTTCAGTATTGCCGGGTCAGAATCCTGGAACGCCCCTCCCTAAGGGCACTGTGTGGGTGTCCCTACAGCACACAGACTGCAGCGGCTCAAGAAGGCAGCTCACCCCCACCTTGTTGGGGAATAAATGCTGGTCCCAGCCAGTGAGACCCACATCCCGTGTTTAAAAAAACAAAGTGATTTGCAGTGTAGGATGGGCAAGAAATGCTGGCCCAGACACACAGATTTGTGGGAGAAAACCAACATCACCAAAACATATAATTTGGTCATTTTCACATCACTGTGTGTAGAGTCATGGTGTCAGAGAATGTAAGAACTAGGAGCAGGAGTGGGCCATCTGGCCCCTCGAGCCTGCTCCCCCATTTCAATAAGACCATGGCTGATCTTTTCATGGACTCAGCTCCACTTACCCACCTGCTCACCATAACCCTTAATCCCTTTACTGTTCAAAAATCGATCAACGTTCAATGCGGTAGCCTCATCTGTGTCACTGGTCAAGGAATTCCACAGATTCACAACCCTTTGGGTGAAGAAGTTTCTCCTCAGCTCAGTCCTAAATCTGCTGCCCCTTATTTTGAGGTGATGCCTCCTTGTTCTAGTTTCACTCACCAGTGGAAGCAACCTCTCTGCTTCTATCTTGTCTATTCCGTTCATAATTTTATATGTTTCTGTAAGATTCCCCCCTCATTCATCTAAATTCCAGTGAGTACAGCCCCAGTCTACTCAATCTCTCCTCATAAACCAACTCTCTCAACTCTGGAATCAACCTGGTGACCCTCCTTTGCACCCCCTCGCAGTGCCAGTCCATCCTTTCTCAAGTAAGGAGACCAAAACTGTACACAGTACTCCAGGTCTGACCTCACCAACACCCTTTACAGCTACAGCATAACCTCCCTGTTTTTAAACTCCATCCCTCTAACAATGAAGGACAATATTGCATTTACCTTCTTCATTACCTGCTGCATCTGCAAACCCAGTTTTTTTTGTGATTCATGCACAAGGACACCCAGGTCCCTCTGCACAGCAGCGTGCTGCAGTTTTTCACCGTTCAAGTAATGGTCCCTTTTACTGTTATTCCTACCAAAATGGATGCCTTAACATTTATCAACATTGTACTCCATCTGCTAGACCTTTGCCCACTCACTTAAACTATTTATATCCCTCTGCACCCTTTGCTCTACCCCTCATCTTAGTGTCATCTGCAAATTTTGACACACCACACTTAATCCCCAACTCCAAATCGTCCATGTAAATTATAAACTCTTGCGGTCCCAGCGCTGATCCCCGAGGCACACCACTAGTCACTATTCTCCCACCAGCAAAACACACATTTATCCCCACTCATTGCTTCCTGTTAGTTAACCAATCCTCGATCCATGCTAATACATTACCCCGTTACCCTGCACACCTTTATCTTATGTAGCAGCCTTTTGTGCGGCACCTTGTCAAATGCCTTTTGGAAATCTAGATACGTCGCATCTACTGCGTCCCCGTTGTCCATCGCACTCGTAACGTCTTCATAGAATTCCAATACATTAGTTAAACCATGACCTGCCCTTCATAACCCATGTTGCATATGTCCAATGGGACAATTTCTATCTAGATGTCTTGCTATTTCTTCCTTGAGCATAAATTCAAACATTTTCCCCGCTATAGAAGTTAAGCTAACCAGCCTATAATTCCTCATCTTTTGTCTACCTCCTTTTTTTAAACAGTGGTGTCACATTTGCTGTTTTCCAATCTGCTGGAACTGCCCCAGAGTCCAGCAAATTTTGGAAAATTACCACAAGTGCATTTGCTATTACTCCCGCCATCTCTTTTAGTACTCTGGGATGTATTCCATCAGGGCCAGGAGACTTGTCTACCTTTAGCTCTGCTAGCTAGCCCAAAACTACCTCTTTCGTGATAATGATCATGAGGTTAGGTCCTCACCTTCCTTAGTCTCTTTGTCATCGATTACTAACAAGTTATTCTTGTCGACACAAAATACCTGTTCAATGCCTCAACTATTTCCTCATTTCCTGTTATTAAATCTCCCTTCTCATCCTCTAAAGGACCAATGTCTACCTTAGCCACTCCTTTTTGTTTTATATTTTTATAGAACCTTTTGCTACCTGTCTTTATATTCTGAGCTAGTTGAGTCTCGTTGTCTATCTTACTTTTCTTTATAGCCTTTTGTTTGTGGCTTTCTGTTGACTTTTAAAGTTTTTCCCAATCTTCCAGCTTCCCCCCCTCGTCTTTGCCATTTTGTATGCCTTTTCTCTCAGTTTGACAGCCTCCCTTATTCCCTTAGATATCCATGGCTGATCACCCCTTTTCCTACAGTCCTCCCTTTGCACTGGTATATGCTTTTGCTGAGCACTTTGAAAAATTGGTTTGAAAATCCTGCACTGTTCCTCAACCGTCCCACCATAAAGACTTTGCTTCCAGTCTACATTAGCCAACTCCTCCCTCATCCTATTGTAGCCTCCTTAGTTTAAACACAGGACCCTGGTACTGGATTTTATCTTCTCACTTTGCATCTGTATTCTAAATTCACCCATGCTGTGATCACTCCTTCCAAGAGGATCCCTAACTATGAGATCATTAATTATCCCTGTCTCATTACACAGGACAAGATCTAGGATAGCTTGCTCCCTCGTCAGTTCCGTTACACACTGTTCAAGAAAACTATTGCTGATACATTCAATTACTTCCTGCTCAAGGCTGCCTTGGCCAATCTGGTTTGATCAATCGACAGGTTGATTAAAATCTTGCACGATAATTACCGTACCAT